CCTTTAAATCGCTATTGAACATTTATTTCCTTTCGAACTTAAAATTTTCTTCCTCAAGTTGTCACCAAAGTAAAAAAGGTACAACCAGGCAAATATGGAATAAAATGAATTTCTGTAATGTTTCAAAAAGTTGACATCCAGTTTTTGATTTCAGTAAGCCTTACAAAAGAACGCTGAAAAGAGACGAAATCCTTTCTGAATTCATGGAACAATAACAATAATAATTAAATATTAATGATATTAATAAATAAATAATACAATAATAATATTAATGAAGAAAATATTTTAAGAATGCATAATATGGCATTAAATGCTGCAAATCAAGAGAAAATGTTCATGAAAATTGGAAAGAACAATAAATTTAAAATTTTGATAACAATGATATTTTCCGATCTCAGATCGTAATTTCTAATTTTTAATACTCATTTTATTATTTTTTATTACTCACTCATCTAATTTCACTCTTCGAAATCTTTTTCCTTAAGAGAAAAACACCGTAAGCTGCAAATTAAAAATTTACGTTTTTAGGAAGAATTGTTCAAAAAAAAGGAAAACTGTTATCGTTTTTAATTGCATAACAATTGATTTTAACTGAATATACGTCGAAAATTTTTTTTCAACTTCGTTTGGTCAGCTGACAAGTTCATGTGGAAGAGTGAAAATATTTACTGGATTATGGAAAACAAATAAAAATTGACTATAAAAATAGAACACCGGAAATAATATACAATAATATACGGTAAGCATGCTCGTTACTCATTGCTTGTTACATCATTATGCTATTTATCAAACGGCGATGATGTCCCCATAAATGTTTGCTTTGTGCCCGTACGTGGGGCAAATAATGCTATAGTGAGGCCTTCGGTGCCTGTCGAGTACTGCCAAGATCGTGATGCGGCAGCTTGTTTCGCAATATTTAAGCCCGATGACGACAATGTGCTGGCGCAAAATCGTATGGCGTGAGTTCTTGATCAATTAAATTTTATTTTCCTTCTATTTTAATATTTTTATTTCGCATTCGAAACGAATATATCTCTTTATAAAAATCCATCTGCAATATTTTAAATCATTACTATCAATAGAATAACCAACGAAAAATTTGCTGAATTTTAACTATGGAAACAAATATTTGTTGAAAAATGTTGCTAAAGCTCTTCTCATTTAAAAATTTCTTGATATTTTTGCATTTTTTTAGCGCTTTTATTTTTTCTAAAATTCGATTAGAAATGAAAGAATTTCACTTTCTCACGTCAAATAAACTAATCCTCTTAATTTTACGGCAGATAGGCAACTTTTTATTGCATTGCGAAAATAAAAATGGAGTTTAAGTTAATTCTTAATTTAATTCTTAATTTTCAACCGGTCTATTACTTTAACATTTTCATAAAAAAATTTCCAACCATAGCCAAAAATATGAAGAAATGGAACAGAATTTTATAAACTTTTAATTAATTGCAGTAACAAGAATTATAAGGTCCTAGACAAATGTCAGCAGGAGCAGGATATAATGTTGGCTCGACAAATGTGCCCATGGATGTGCGCGACTTGTTGCATGACTAAGGAATATAATTGTGAAAATGGTAAAGTTTCAATAAATTTATTATTTTAAAATATTTGATAATATCTATTCATTTAATATTTATATAAACTTATGTAAAATAGTCTAATAAATTTATACTTATTAAAAATACATTTTTTAAAATTTTCCTTTTATTTCGCTTCAATCCATCATATAGTTCATCGTATTGGAGCTCTTATTAAAACTTTTCATGGAATCCATAAATAAAAGGAGAAAAGAGGGGTGCCGAATGTTATTTTGATCCATGTTCCTTAAAATTTGTTTCAGTATTGAGGAAATTCACATGCATCTGGTACTTTTGCTGATTACTATCCTACTTAGAAGATATTGACCATTCCTCATGCAGACAAAATAGAATATTTGAATTTAATAACGTTTGCCTTTGCACTTTCTCGCATTTCGCAAATTAGTTAATTTTTGAAAGCTGTTAAAACTAAAATTCTATTTTAGTTGGAGGCCGAGATGGTGCATGCAAAAATTTTTCAAGGGCAATGTGCAGTCAATTCCCAAGCCTTGCATTACGACTTTGTCCACAGACTTGTGGACTTTGTCATTTACCTGGTGCTGCATGTGTCCCGATACTATCGATGGCTGTGATGTTTTGGTAGGATTGGGCATTTGTTTTGACAACAGATTGAAAAATATGTGCCAAAGAACTTGCGGGTCGCGCGACTGCCTAACAAGTAATTTCTGATTCTGAAAAGGAATTGTTTTAAAAACATTCTAAAAATAGAAATGCAAAATTGGAAATTCCACTGGAAATGAAAAATTAAATTTTTCATGGATTTCAGCGACGAGTATATCGCCTTTAACGTCAGTTTGTAGAGACGAAAGACTGAACTGTGCTGCAGTTCGAGCCGCAAATAGCTGTGGCGGTGTATTTCGAACGACAATGATGCAACAGTGCGCGAAAACTTGCGGTTATTGTGCCTAATTAGTATGATTGTATAAAAATTATAGTTTTAATGAATTTGTGTTAAAAATGAATTAAAATTTTCTCA